CATCCATCCATCCATCCATCCATCCATCCAGGTTCGTGCTGCTGGCCTCAGGACTGGGGCTGGGCAGCGTCAGTGGGGAGGCCCTGCTGAGCACTCAGCTGCTGGTGGACGTGGTGACGGGGCAGTTGGGTGCCGAGGGCGAGCAGAGCTGTGCTGCCCACATCGCTCGGGTCATTCTGGCYGGGAATCTGCTGAGCCAGAACACGCAGAGCCGAGACACCATCAACAAGGTACAGCAGCGAGGGGGGCTGCGGCCTCACGGTGCTCCTGAGGTGCTGGGAGGCTGTGGGGAGGGACCAGAGGGTTGTGGGGTGGTCCTCACTGTCTTCCTGCTCACCCAGGCGAAGTACTTGACCAAGAAGACACAGGCTGCAAGTGTGGAGGCTGTGAAGATGCTGGATGAGATCCTGCTGCAGCTTTGTGTGAGTGTTTGGGGTTTCCTCTGAGTGAGGGAGGGAGCCTTGTTCCTGAAGCCGGGGAGCAGCCCAGGATGGCAAACCCTCTTCCCCCACACCCAACCCCATATGGGGAGACAGCTCACTGCCCAGCTCCAGATCCTTCTCCTGGTTTCTGGCCTCTGTGGTGAAGCCAAGCAGGCTGTCCTGGGGCAAAGACCAGCACTGACACCAGGGTTTTGCTCTAAGCCCCATTGGAGGCTACTTTGGCCACCTGGTTGATCCCTGCTCTGCCCACAGACATCTGTGCCCGTGGACGTGATGCCCGGCGAGTTTGACCCCACCAACTACACGCTGCCACAGCAGCCCCTGCACCGCTGCATGCTGCCCCTGGCCAGTGCCTACGCCACGCTGCGCCTCGTCACCAACCCCTACCAGGCTGACCTGGATGGTGTCCGGTAAACACCCAGTGTGCCACCAGCTCTGGTGACACCTGTCAGTGGTGTGGAATATGTCCTGGCATGTCCAGCATCTAAAACTCCTCTTCTTTCCCCCATAATGTAGGTTTTTGGGGACATCAGGACAAAATATCAGCGATATTTTCAAGTACAGCAATATGGACGACTACCTGGAGATCCTGGAGTGGACACTGCTGGCAGGACACATCAGCCCCACAGCCCCAGATACCCTGGGTATAGTGAGGGGTTAGGGGGCTGTTGAATGGGGGGGCTGTTGAATGGGGGGCCTTGCCAGGGGCTCCTCCCCTAATTCCCATCCTCCCCAGGCTGTTACCCTTTCTACAAATCTGACCCATTTATCCTCACTGAGTGCCCTCACGTCTACTTCTGCGGCAACGCACCCCGCTTCCAGTCCAAGCTGCTCCAAGGTAGGTCTGGCAGCACACCCAGATCCTTGTGGGGGCTGGAAACTTAAGTTGGGGGCTGCTGGGGGGCTCCTCTGCCTGACACCCATCTGTTTGCAGGGAAGGACGGGCAGCGGGTGCTGCTGTTGACGGTGCCTGATTTCAGCGTCACGCAGACAGCCTGCCTCGTCAACCTGCGTGACCTCACCTGCCAGCCCATCACCTTCTCAGGCTTTGGGGCTGATGATGAGGACAAGGACATGCAAGTTGGGCACTGACCKCAGGGAGGGCACAGACTCCACGAGCCCCCACCCCTCAAGGGGTCCTGGCACCCACTGGCCTTGTCTGTCCCATGGTAGGGCGACACAGAGCTGGGGAAGCACCAGAGGGACGAGATGTTCGTACCAATATAACTTGATTTATTTGTGTAACAAAAACTGTGTGGAGGGGAGAAAGGCTGTGCTCGCCTCCGTGGGCCCTGCCCAGGAGAGCAGTACCACCCCTGCCACCCCACCGGGACATGGACAGTGGGCTGGCACTGCCCAGCTCTGAGAGATGGGGTAGCATGTCCCTGACAACACACAACTGTTGGCGACARTGCCCGCAGTCCTTGGAAGCAGCAAGGTGAGGGGCTGGAGCCCACCTGGAACAGCTGCTCGGGCTCAGGGGAGGTGTTGGAAGTGGATGCCAAAGCGTCCGACCGTGGCTCGAAGCAGGGTGAGGGGTCAAAGTGTCCTTAGTCCCCAAARTTGACGGTGTAGATTTCAGCCGTGGTGAGGGGCTGCGCCGTCCCTGTGTGTAACTCCCAGCTCTCCGTCTCTGTCACCAGCTCGGTGACCACCTCTGTCTCGGTGTCCATCTCCCAGGTGCCGGCAGTGGGTGGCTCCTGGCTCCAGGGTGTGTAGGCCGTGCTGCTGAAGGGGAAGGGCAGGGCTGTGGTGGACGGCGGGGCCGTGGGGCTGCCGGTGGTCACGGTGGCGTTGAGGCGCCGCAGCCGCATCTGCTCCCGCAGCCGCATGCGGTGCCGCAGCCGCATCCGGAGGCGCAGGCGCTCTCGGGGCGTCATGGGCCGGCCGGGCACCACGCGGCGGATCGGCCGGTTCCCGTTCATGGCCATGATCTCCCGGATGCGCTTCCAGTTGGAGCGGGACAGCACRAAGTTGCACTGGGTGGCCCCGATGTCGTAGAGGACGTGGCAGGTCTTGACACTGGGGTTGTAGCCCTCGGCCCGCGCCGACACGCGGTACTCGCCCGGGTTCAGGATGCGCCAGTAGTCCCCGCCACTGGCTGTGGGCACGGGAGGTGTCATGGGGGTGGCGTGGTGCTGCCAACACCCTTCCAGCACCCCACGGTACCCACCTGTCTTGACGTTGTGGTTGATGCCTCCCACCACAATGGTGGCGTTTGCAATGGGCTCTCCCTGCTGGTCYGTCACCACGCCCTTGATTCCCCGATGGATCTGGGCAAGGAAAAAGGATGAGTGGAACTGTGTGGGAC